GTATTTCAATAATGACATTTTAGAGTACGAGTCTTTCTTGGCATCAGGAAGACCAGACTTTGAGGTTATAAGGCCACATGATGAGTGGGATCCTATTGCTTTGAATTACACTTCAGGTACAACATCAAGCCCCAAAGGTGTTGTCTACAGTCACAGAGGAGCCTACCTCAATTCTCTGGCTGCTGCTCTTTTAAACGAAATGCCATCCATGCCTGTTTATTTGTGGACTGTTCCGATGTTCCATTGCAATGGCTGGTGCCTTACTTGGGCCGTTGCAGCACAGGGCGGCACAAATGTTTGTCTAAGAAATGTAACTGCAAAAGGGATTTTTGAGTGCATAGCTAAGCACCAAGTGAGCCACATGGGTGGTGCACCTACAGTATTAAATATGATAATTAATGCACCATCTGTTGATCGGAGACTGCTTCCAGGAAAAGTGATAGTGATGACAGGCGCTGCCCCCCCTCCTCCTCATGTACTTTTTAAGATGGAGGAGCTGGGATTCAATGTTACTCATTCCTATGGCTTGACCGAAACATATGGTCCTGGAACAGTTTGCACTTGGAAACCCGAGTGGAATTCACTACCACCTGATGCACAGGCCAAGATCAAGGCTCGTCAAGGGTTGCACCACCTTGGCATGGAAGAACTCGATATCAAAGATCCGGAAACAATGCAAAGCGTACCACCGGACACAAAAACAAGGGGTGAGGTGATGTTCAGAGGCAACACCGTCATGAATGGATACTTTAAGGATAGTAAAGCAACAGCTGATGCTTTTAAAGGTGGATGGTTTCGAAGTGGGGACGTGGGGGTGAAACACCCTGATGGATACATAGAATTAAAAGATCGATCCAAAGACATTATCATCTCAGGAGGGGAGAATATTAGCTCGATTGAGGTGGAATCAGTGATTTATAGCCATCCAGCAGTTCTGGAAGCTGCAGTTGTTGGAAGACCAGATGATTATTGGGGTGAAACACCTTGTGCATTTGTCAAATTGAAGGATGATTGTAATGCAAATGCAGATGAAATTATCAAGTATTGCCGTGATCATTTGCCACATTATATGGCTCCACGAACTGTTGTTTTTGGGGAATTGCCAAAAACTTCAACAGGAAAAATACAAAAATTTGTTCTCCGCCAGAAGGCCAAAGATATGGGAAGTCTTTCAAGGACCAGCAGATTATAGCATTTCCATCGTCTGCAAACTAACAATGTAAACTTCCACCACCTGGTTCTGTTGTTAAGACTGCTATCACATCACAATTGATCCCTCACCAAGAACTTGATCCTGTTGGCTTTTTGGGGTGAAGGTGGAATATTGAGGATTTGATCCGGTACAAGGAAGTGAAAGGCATTTAATATCTTCTTAATTTGTTCCAAGGCGAGATTATAATGAGTTAAATGTCAAGACTTGAGTTGTATTTGATCAACCATATAATGTGCTTTAGTTTAATATGAGATCAGTATTCCACTTCAATCAGAGGAGAAATTTACGACTGTATTAAGGCAAACTTGTCTAACATAGTCTTGATGCAAGCTTGGGACATATTAAAGGATTAAATTCGTCAATCAGTCTGAATGAACAAATCTTGTTTATTCTTTGACAACATCTACTACGAAGACTTCAACTGAAAAGTGTTAGCGTTAAAATGAAGTTGTCTCAGGTAATTTAAGATTGGAGACTTGCTGCAGCAGCTTTACCAATGATTTGCTAGTCAGTAAATCAAGAATCAAGGAGACAATGGTCCAATCACGTCTCAACGGACTTCAGCTTGTGTGAATTCTTTCAGTTTACAAGTAGTTATTGAACAAACGTGCAGCGCTCTTCACATTTTCCAGCTAGTTTAGTCGCATATCGTGACACAGAAGACAAATATCTGTTTTCTAAATTGATTACCAGTTTTGACAGAAGTTCACAGATATAGGAACCGCTTAACTACAGAAATTGTTCAGCAACTGGAACATATCATATATCCTAGTTGAACAACTCAAAAGAAGAAGGATACAGTAGTATTAAGTTTCATCTATTAAACAACAAAACAAGGCTAACAATTTCATTAGGTTGCGAACTCTTTTAGCTTTTGATTTGAGTGGTTTATATTTCAACTGCTGGAATGCTATTCCTCTGTTGATTGTTGCTCTCTTTTTCTGCTTGCAGTTCCATATTCTAGTGTTGCATACGTTCGATGTGGGTTGGGTTGGTTCTCATTTACCTTCAATGGTTTTTTCAGATATGTACCATTTTATTCTGTAGTTCAAGTTTCTGCCTCTCTATTTCATTCTAAACCTCCCGTTTCTCCAATTCTTTCTTACGCTCAATCAGCTTTTGTTTCCATGCCTCTAGCTGCATGCTCTGAAGATACCTTTTCAACTGATTAGCATGGTATCCTGCATCTTTCGTATCTCTGATTCATGTGAATGGAAGAAAGTGAGGGAAAATCAATGCAGATATTGTCACTAGTGAAGAGAGTGAAAGCAAAAAAACACTGCATCAAATCGTTAACAACTGAAGATATCATTCTCTGGATGTGAGGAATGAGTACACATCTTCATTATGGAATCGATCCATCTCATCCTTTCGAGTCATCAAATCGAATTAGAGTATAATAGTTTCATTGTATTTACGCTCACAAACTCTGAGGGACCTGCTGTTATCTTGTATTTCCTTGGTAAAATTGTCAATAAGCCGTGAAGTTATTTGCTTCACTTCTGCTTCAATATCAGCAATAGTCTTCAAATCTGCCTTCTGTTGAAGATATGCTCCAATTAATTCTAATGAATGATAAGCATCAGCAGGGCAACCCATCCATACCACTTATCACCCACATTCATGGTTCAAAGTCTCGGCCGAGACTGAGATGATTCGGCCGAGTCGTCGCCGAAACGACCCCTCCGATATGATACCGAGACGAGATGACTCTGAGATACTTGACTCGCCGAAAACTCGGTTGAGAAATCTCCGATACGAATAGTCTCGGCCCGAGTCAACTTGCAAATTTACATTTTACATATTTTCTTTTGCTAATTTTTTAATTATTTTTGTTTAGCATATTTTTGAATATTATTCACAATTTTTAGAATATTAAATACTTTAAAATTTGTGTCTCGCCAAGACCGTGATCAATATGTCGAGACCGATGTGGAACGGTCCAGGCCGCGACCGCGACTTTGAATCATGCTTGTCACCCGTTATATGCTTCATAGTAATCCCTCCTACCAAGATGCTCTGCTTCAAAACTCTCTTCAAAAGCCATTGCCTCGGACAATCCTGCCTAGTTCTTGTTGAACTCAACTATTACATACCCTGATAATGTTGCACAGTTTCAGAATGGTTGCACGGTCATTGGATTAAACTCTTTCATAGTCAGATCATTCTTAACCTTAGAGCCGCAGCTTCGAACATCTTGTCCATTTCTATTGTCATCAGGAATATTTGCAGCAATTCCCATCCAAGGATATACAAATTCTGCATTAACATCTGTGCCTGCATGGTGATCACCAGCCATCACCATTCCTAAATGTTTTTCCCCATCTTCGATTTTTCTTTTTTTGTGAACTGTTTGGAACTCTAGAGACATGCTGGTCAGACATTTCAGAGAACCTGAATTTGGGAAAATGGCTACTGACTAGTGACTACAATACTGGCAGTGGCATCTGGACTGATTCTTTTCTGCTTCTTGCCTTCTTGCTTGGTAGGAAGTTGGAATGGAACATCATCTTCTTTTGGCTTTGTTTAACCAACAAAGTATAAAACCAAGCATCAATTCATGATCTTTAATGCATCAAAACATTGGCAAAATTTAATGCATTTGCTCTAGTTTCTGCTATCCAACACGAGAGGATAACAAAAAAAATTAGCAGCTCAGTCTCAAGAAAAAGGTACAGACCAATGAATACAACCAAAATCCAAAAAGAACAATATGTTCTACTTGCTGGGGTTTTAAAAATCCCAATATGAGAAAAAGAAAATCAAGCACATACTTGCACATCACACCAAATAATCAATCGGGAAAAATCTGTACCCAAAATGTGGTTGGGACAGATCTAGGCCGTGGTGGATCATATATAGTAGTATTATTATGGTGGTGGGCTTTATCAATTCTTAGTTAGCCTTGTATTTTTGAAAAAACAAAGTTAATCAATGCGAATAAAATTACAAAATAATCTAATACTTTAATCAAAAAAGAAAAGAGGAGGAAAAAAAAAACCAAGACCATTGAAAGTTGATATGGAACTGCGAGCATGAGCTCACTCAACTTGTTAAACTCACTTTACCAGGCAAGTTGACTGTGATCCAAAAAAGATTGCCAAACTGATTTTTGTACAAAAGTTTACGCAGGCAATGAAGGAGTAAATGATACTTTTCTAACTCGCCCTGAACAAAGTCTATGCCAAGAAGCAATTCCTTTCCAGTTTGAGTTGATTTTTTCTACAGGGGCTTTCAATTGAAAATGATAGAAATCTCGTAAAATGTGGTATCTGGTTTAGGTCAAGAGACACTGGAAATGAAAATGAAGCTGCCTTTTATGTACTTTGATCTTATTCCTTGATCAATTTTAAGTTGGAGCAACTTCCTAGACTCCATGCAAAAAACATAATATGCGGTGAAGTTGTGCATGCCAATCTGAGTTTGGATCCCTAAACTTGGGACCAAAAGCTACTTGTATCTCTTCACTTTGAAAGACTTAGATTGCTTTTATTTTGGAAAACTATACCTGATATTTTCCTTCAAGAAATCCTGCAGCTGAGTTCAATCGAAGATACTGCAGAAATCTATTCCAATTCCTGATATATTGACTGATATACAATATATACCGACAGAAAGTAAGATCGAAACCATAAATCATGTTCAGCATCTTGCTCGGACCATTTTCCTTCTAAATCATATATCTCTTTTCATGAGATAGTGCCTGTTTGCGTCTGAAGTTCCTGTCCCAAACTAGCTGACCATCCTAGTTGTAAAGATGTACCTATTGAGAGATTTAGAGAATTTACTAGAACAAACACTTGAATATATCCCAAAAAACGAGTATGGATAAATCAATGTTTGAAAAGAAAAAGATGCATGTAGAGTTCAACCGATACACATAGCACCTGTATAATCTTATCTTTGGAACCAGGAAAGGTGAATGTCAGGTTTGACATATTACATGAATTGAAAGATCCTTCACTAAATAAACTTCTGATAGCTTTACTTTTGCCGGCATCAATCAAACAGCTGTGAGGGTCATGATATGAGGGTGGCATCTGTACCACTTGAATTGTGTCATGAAACCCTGGTCAGGTTCACAAAGAGACCTTACCCTACCAAAATGTTTTGAATTATGAGAAAGTTGCACCAGTCGCGTGCCCATTGCAGTTGATATTACAAGGCAGAATCTGCGAGGTTCATCCTGAGTAGTCCCTCTTCATCTCCAAGATATATGCCAAAGCAGTGTTTGACCTCCGCATTTCAATCAGATGCAGCTGCCCCTTTGTAGACCCAAAGTACAGAATCAACCTTTTTCACTTTCCCTAGATATTGGAGTTGCCGGCATCATTTGAACGCACTCTTTATCCATATCAAAATGCAAGAAATGCCCAAACTTGCTAATCCAATGCACAGAATTATTAATACACGCAGAAGCTTTCTTTGGCAAAATCAATGTATCAAAAGACACGTACAAATGTTTCTTTTTCCAATTTCTCTATGACTGGTTAGAAAAACTACTCATCGGATGACACATTACATAATGATTTACAGCAACTGCTAAAATGTCATTCTCAAACAGAATATTCTGACATAACAACGTCTAGATTCTCAGGGTAAGAATTTAAAACCATAAAGGAGCTTCAAACAAAATGGAAAGAGTTAAAATACTTAGCTTGCTTCGGCAAAATAAGATTCACATGCTAAGTCATGTAGATTTAAAAACAGAAAAAAAAAGGAATTGGATTCTGATAAAGGTATGGCTGGCAACAACCCTGGAGATAGAAAATTCTATGGAGAGAGATTATGGAGAGAGAAGGAACAAGCTCAGAAACAGAGAATTCTGATGTTAGCTCACATGTCAACCATCTGCCCTTTTTATTTCTGCAAGCATGAAATATACACTGATACTAACTGAATAGAAAATTCTATAGAGATTATAACCTCTTTGTTTCCAATTACATGATTGGACTTGACAGGTTCATTCAAGATAATAGATGGTGAGACAATGTTTAAAAAATTTTTGCAGAAATAACATTACATTGCCCAAGTGCATCCTATTGTGTGGTTATGTTTCTGCATCTCTTCCATATTTCTGCATTTCTCTATGTTTTACCTTAATCTATTAAAAAGAAAAAAACAAAAAGAGTGAGAGCCTAGATAGCATTTCTCTATATGATAGCAACTCTGTGGCTGAACTACCCTTGATCTTTGATTTGTTGGCTGAACTGTTACTGATGCATGACCTATTACCTAATCTATCCACTAACGCATGGTATCACCACTCTGTCAGTTTCTCATCCCATCTTCATTAGGCCCAAACAATAAAAAGGTTAATAATGAGAGAACACAATAGTTCAGTTGAAGAATAGCTTCTATGATCAGGAAACCAAAGAGAGCTGAAATTTGATTTGACTTAACATGTTGAAAATTCACTAGCAGCTAACAAAAGCCCAAACTCAACCATAACCCCTGATGCCTTTTCTGATTTTCAAGCAAAAACTCTAAAACAAATTAAAATACAATTTCAAGAGGCCAAATTCAGTATGCCAAATTTATAAACCTATCTTTCAATCAAGAAAACTATGGATGGCCACCAGCAATCAACATGTTCCTATAGGAGGGAAAAGACAGAGCAAGAACAGGAGAGGCAGAAGGTGGAAAGGAAGGTGGGGAGGAAAGCATCAAAAGGAACAGATATCAGGCAATAAGAAAATGGAGTCCGGGATATGCCTTTTGTTTGGGCTGTATAAATAGAGATAACCCTAGTGGGGGAATCAAAATGTTAGTGCCCAATTTATGAATAAATCCCATAGATTGGGCCAATGAAAGCCTTAGATCTATTTCCAGAAGCCTTGCAAACACCATCAATCACTATCAGTCTATCACTCTTTTTGCCCATGCCTTAGTTCCAGACCCCCTGACAAGCAACTAGTATGCAAAGGAAACACAAAAAGAAATCAAATAAATCAAGGACTCCATCAAAAGACAGCAAATATAATCGAGAGCACCAATAGAAAACCTCGGCCAAACTGGTCTGGTTTCTAGTGAATTTCTTCGCTGGCTTTCACCAAGTTTCAAAGACTTTTAGTCTTCTCTGAGTTTGCATTCAACCAGATCGAACAGCTGAAAATTCCTGGATGAACCAATTGAACCATTCAAAGGTTGAATATTTCCTAGGCAGATTTCCTGCAAAAAATACATAACTCAATTACCCAATTAAAAAATAAAATCCACCATTAAAGGAAAACCATGGCTGTAACATGCCAAATTTGTCTTCTTTTTCTGCTGCATTAGGGAAGCTAAAGAACAAGTTTTACTTTAAAAATATGTCTGGTGACCTTAAAATCTTATTGAGGTTCAATTACTTACTGAAGGGATTATGATGAGGAGCCAGGCTCTAAATATAAATGTTCATAATAAAAAATATAGACACTGAAAGAGAAAGAGAGACTGAGATATTGTCCATGCAGGTCTGTGGTAAATTTATAGCTCTGTCTTTTAGAAAAATGGAAGGCTTTAATGATCATAACAGCTGTAGCCAACTTCCTTTACCGGCATCATTTACTGAGTGGAGCAAATATACCGACAAACACGCAATAGTTATCTGATTCTGCTCAATCAGGTGTTTGGTAACACATTTACATCAACACTAGATTTCCAATTGTACTAAGAGAAGCCCAAGGTAAAAAAGGTGCAGCTCAAAATGTATTTAACCATTTAAACTCAGTAAACAACTTGAGTTAATTTGGTTACAGGTAGTGATACCATTCCATTCACATAAAATGCATATTCCGTTAATCCAAAGAAGTTAATGAACAAATCTAACTGTGCTGTATTAAATTTATACGTTCTATTAACAAGTTTAGTGTTTCTGTGCATAAATTACTTACTTAGAGATGTTAAATTCATCATCATCAGCTTCACTATGAATTTGAATTAGGCAAGCCCAGAGTTAATTTGAAAAGGTTGAAAGTATTCAAGAAACCAGTTAATTTTCCCAGGTAACACAGCAAGACCAGAATGCAAGTGATATGAAAAAAGCTGAAAAGGAAAAAATTAAAAATTAAAAATAGAAAAGCAAAAAGGAGCCAAAGTGGAGTAGAGCTTAGAATTGTCAACTGAACAGCAGCCCCAAGTTCAAAACAATTTAAGGGGCAACTTTGTAAAGTTTTGTGAAACGGTCAAATATATGCCCTCAGGTAACACAATCAAGACCAGATTCAGTCTCACAAAAGAATAATCAAAAGACGTCAAAAAGCTGAAAATATGAAGAAAAAGAAAAAGCACCAAAAGGAAAAGATCTTAGAATTGTCAACTGAACCGCATCACCTACACAAGTACAAAATAGTTGAAGAGGCAATTTTGGCATGTTTTAGGAAACACTCAACAGTTGCTCACAAATAGGCCTACTGAATAGTGCTTCAGAGACAATTTCAAATATATGGCTTTATTGGGTAACTTTTAGATACTTCAAATGATAAATTACATTTCAAAGGATGAAAATGTACTTCTAAAGAAAGGTGGTTAGTCATCCGCATCGATCACCTCTTTGGAGACAACATTGGGAACATCTTATGTTTCACTTCTCATGGCTATATACAAGATTGACCAAGAAAGTAGCATGTTGAATTCTCTCCAGAGGTGGATTGGCATATTTACCTCATATATGAAGCTTCATATTAACATACGAATGATGTTGAAAACTCAAAATCAGTGAATAGTATGTTATGCTCTTTCTTGATAAATAGCTAGAAAAAAAAACTATTTTCCCAATTGTTTTGTCAAATAAAATCAAATTTCTCGGCACAAGGGGACATTGATTCCATATTTGGAAAAATATATGCATTAGGACCCTATCCCATGCTATGTTATCGATGTACCTATGCCTTTTACTCGTTTTCCCAATTTGCAGCTTTCAAGGTCAAAGACCTTTGACTTGTCCACAGTCATAATGCTCTGCTACATGTGAAATATGCATATATACATCCAAATCAGGAACTGCAGACTTAGGCTGAGAAATCTAGTAACAAGCATAAGCCAAACAAGTTCACATTTGAGAAAACTTTAAAAGATTAAGCATATAAATCAATTCAGTATTCCTTATATCTTGTGATAAAATTTGAGGTCAATAGGTCAGGATCCAGTGCTACAAGAGTTCAATCAGAAAATAACAATCTCCTACCAAAGAGGAAACATTTTAATCTTTCATCTCTTGGTTTCTGATTCTAGAGAACCAATACGAAGTTGCAAAAAACAATTATAAACATGGGACTCAGATATAACAAGAAAACCAAAAGGCAGGAGAAAGTAGGAAGAATAGACTATAATCCTGCCACCAGAAGACATGTCTCATCCAATTATGCATGTAAACTTACAAATAGTGAACCATATAACAGTAAATTACATCTTTAACCATGAAGCAAGCACATCAAAAGCACAATATGGCAGGTGAGAAAACTTTAACATATACAGTTCCATATTCTTTTCATTAGAAAGTAATAGGGCTTTTCACACAAATTCATTCAAAGTTATCACAAACCATAACAATATGTATAAGAAGTGCTTTTAATTAAGTTAATTCAGATTTTGAGAAGGAATTTAAAAACAATATATCTTGGAAGTAATTTCAACAACGTGCTGTACTTCAAATTACGGTTTTAAAGTTGGCAGAAGTAATGAAATTTCTTCAATGTAATGGGCAAAGAAATGAAACATCTGTGTACATAAATTTCTCCAGAGTTAATTCAATGTGTTGAAATAGGCTTATTGTCACTTGGCTTCTCAACCTAGATTAATGTTTTGGAGACCAAAAAGACGAATAATTGTAACTCCAATACCTAATTCTTCTTTCATAGTCCATATATTCATGCTATAAGCCAAACTGATTGTCATTCACTATAGCAGCCCAAAATGAACTTTCATTGCATATTTAGCTAAAGTCTTCTTAAATTAATAGCTATCAACCTTAAATGCATAAAAGATGCCCCCACAACATCTTCTTCCCTTCATAAATTAGAACAATTTGGTTAGACCCAATTCACCAGACAAAAGAATAACTTTTTCCTTCAAAAACTACTGTGGAATAATCCTCTCAAGTATTGAGCAACTCAGAACCTTATTCAAGGTTATGCTTAACAGCTGTTAAGCCATAGAATTTCCGGGAATGAGGACATTCAAAAGATTTAGCAGCTTTATTTGAGTTTTCTTCACTTCTATTGGGCACATCGATTTCCAAATTGTCTGTCTTGTTGTCTCATTACAAATTCAGCTCCTTGAATATATCTTAAATAACAGTAGTAGTCACTCAGTGTTGTTTTAACTCACCATAATGAGTACCAAAACCCTCCAATAATGCAAGTCAGAATACATGGAAAGGCAAATGAAGGAAGATGAAAGTGAATGTTAATGGCTTCATGAGAGAGTCTCATATTCAATGCAACATGGTAAAATCACGGGTTCCTTTCAAACTTACAGGGTAAAATCAAGTTTTTCTTCTGATTTCTTCCACTTGAAGTCACTGAAAAAGAATTCCAATACCCAACAATTAGGACCTCTAAGCAAATAAATGCACTGACTAAGAAGTTCATTTATGCATAAAAATACAACGTCTCAGTAATTGTACACAAGATAATGCACTGACTAAGAAGTTCTTTTTCTGGACAGCACTGACTCGTACCTTATAATCATTCATTACATTAAAATGTAAATTGCAATAGCAGAGATTGAATAATACTTAGAGCAAGTGAATCTTGTCTCTGTGTTGTAATCTTAACGTGAAACCAGTATCCTCAGCTCCCACGCCCTCAATTGTATCAAAAAAACCTCCAAAACGTAAGCCATTACGGCCACCATTTTCCTCCAACAAAAGCACATTAAAGGCCTAAGCAATACATCATATAGACCACACATGCAAATTTTCATGTATCTGCATAAGAAAGAAGAAACAAAACCTTGTGGCAACAATACTGAAGGCAAAGCAGATAGTTCATCGGTCTCAGACTCTAAATTACAACATTGTAGAGAAGACATAGTAATTTTCTCCAATAGAAAAATGGCAGACTTTTGTACGGAATTTCCCAGTGTTTTGGCTAGCCAATAGTGCAGCTCCACAATTTGACATGGAAGTGAAATACTTCAAGGTGAGAGCATGTCACAGCATACATGCTATGGCCCTGAGTCAAATAAGGTTCTTTGCTCTGTGGACTTGTAGACGCAACATCTTTCTATTCCTGCACAATATCATCAGATTGATCAAAACTATTCTGCCTTTATGCAAAAATTGTTTCTTTGTCACATACACATAAATATGTGCCTAAGAAAGTGTGCATATGATAGACACCATGTTGTTAACTTTCCTATTACTCCAATACCCTTACCATGCATCCAGCCTTTTAAGTTAGCTTCCTCTGCAACTTTCAGCATGCTTTTGAAATAGTCATTCAACAAAAGCTGCTAAACTACTAATATGACCACCAAATTACAAACCCAAAAGAAAAGGACTATTCTGCTGAAGTGTGACAATATCTCTACACTGATTCAGGGCAATAATCCAATTCATCTTTTCATTCTTTTTCCAACATGTATTTCCATTATACTACCTTTCTTCCTCCTAGCAATACGTTAGGGTTCGACTCCTCTGCTTGAAGCACCTCATTGCCAATTAACCCATCAGGATAATCATGCTGCCACCAGATTGATCAACTAACGATCGACAAAGAGTTACATACTACATGGCGCCACCAGATTGATCAAAGATATTTTGCCTTCAGAAAAAGATCATTTCTTTATCACATACGTGTTAATATATACTTAAGAAAGTGGGCATTGTCAAAAAAGGCGCCTCATTAACTTTCCTATTACTTCAATACCCCTTAACATGCATCCATCTCTCTTTCTTTTGCACTTTCAACATGTTATGGAAATGCCCAACCAAGAAAAGCCACCAAACTTGGAATTCGACCAACAAGCTAAAATCCCAAATGAGAAAAATTATTCTGCTTAAGTGTGGCAACATCTGTAAACTAATTAAAGGCAAAAATCAAATTCATCTTTTCATTCTTTCCCAGTAAGTATTTTCATCATCTTACCCTTCTTCCTCCCGGCTATACTCAGAAAAACGTACCAATAAAAAACGAAAACATTTCCCCTACTCAACATCATAGTTCATCTAAAAATTCATAAGCAGCAACCAATACTTTAGGGACCCTTTTAAGATTATAATTTAATCACTCGACTAAATTACCAATTCAACAAGGCTTGATCATTACATAACTATCAACTTGCTAACCCAAGAACTAATGCGGACAGAAAAACATCATGTTTAACAAGATGTACGAAATGAGAATTGAACCCAAATAAACCCCAAAAAAAATAATAAAGAACAGGATATGAGAATTACAGAAAAAACAGTAGTAGAGATTGTTGCAGAGAATCTAGCAAGTCAACTACCTGGCTTTCATGTTCTGCATTAGGATGTAATTGAAGAATACAGAAAATTGAACGAGGGAAAAGAGCGAAAGAAAAGTTGTTAATGACTCGTCAACGGCCCCAAAAATTAACAAAGGAATTAATTGCCATCTATACCCTCAAACTAACACAAATTTCCAATTTTTACAGCATACCATATGCTATTAACTCTAGAAAATCTATTAACACAATATAGTATTTGTTTTTCAACAAAAAAAGAGATAGTGTATTAGTGTGTAGTAATAAAAGATTTTCAAAAGGGGAAAATTGCTCAAAACACCTTCATTTTTTTGAATAAATGTTTTCATCACTCATTTTTAAAATATTAATTTTAATTCCTTATAAATTTAATTTGGTAAAATTTGGATCCAACCTAAATTTTTGATTACTTTTTAGTCTGAAATCACCACGTGACCCATATATTCATTATATATATATATAAATCAAATTTTAGTTTTTTTTGTTGTACAAAATGAATATAAATTTGGTCAGATTTCACATTTTAAAAGAAAAAATGAACATAATTTAGATCAAATCTTACTTTTTTAAGGGTAAAAGCGAATATAGATCGATCATTTATTTGATTACAAATAGGATCTAACCTTTTTTTTCCTCTAAAAAATGACCGTATATAGGTCATGTGACGGATTCACAGTAAAAAGTGGTCGAAAACATATGTTGAAACCAAAATTTCCCAACTTGATTTTGTGAAGAACGTAAATTTATCAATTGAAAAATGAAAGACAAAAAAATTTATTTAGCAAAATATGAGGGACGTTTTAAATGATTTTCCTTTTCAAAATAGTAAAATTGATAAATTCCAAACATAAAATCAAGTAGAGGTACCATCAAGTTGAGTTGAGTGTATGGTGTGAGAGATAGATTGAGTAGTTCAAAGAAAGGGAATATAAGTAAAAGATTTCGGATTTGAATCTTTCCACTTATACTAATAAAAAATTGAGTCAAATTTGAATAGTGCAGTATTTGAACTCTTCTCGAGTAAAAAATACTTCAAATCAAGTTTTTAAAATTGACCAAGGCTCAAACTCAATCTTATTTGGCCTTAATCAAATTCGCGTTCAAATTCAATCAAATCGACCTCAATCAAACTTACTGATATAAATTATTATTTTATATAACTTTAAACAAGAAATACAATGGGTGCATTTGGATATGCCATTATTCTGATTTTTGCAAATAATGCTACAAAAAACTGTTTGAACAACACCTCAAATAACCCAAATAATTGAAGCAACATGCCCGTAAGGGTAGAATCACACGTGGAATGGTGCCGAAGTGGAAAAAGGGCCCGCATCCACGTGAAGAAACATGTCTACCCAAATCGTACCACGCATGTGGTTTGCTGGCCGTGTAAGACATCATGCTTAGCAGCTTCCCACTGTGCAATTTTTTACCGTTGCAAGATACCCATGAAGAAGAAAAGTAAAGGTAAAGTTGCGATTCCCAGTTCCTCCTTACACAGAATTTATTCGCCTCAACCGTTCTCCTCCTCTTGATTTCTGACTGTCTTCTCCCATCAAATAGTGCAAAAGTTAGGCCTTTATTTTCTCTCAAGGGCAGAAAGCTAGCAAAATTGGTTCTTGGATTCAATTCCTCTGCTCAAAATCCAGCTGAAAGGAGAGCAGAATCCCACTGACCTTGGAAGGGGAAGCTTGGAGCATTGAAAACAATAGCTCTCCCTTGGGTTTTTTTCCACAAAAATACCACTGCAGTTACCTGTAGTAGCCATGGTTGGGCTTCGGAAGTGCTGAAGCACTACATATCGCGTGTGCCTGGCTTGTATTTTCTTCTCGTGTGTGGCATTCACGGATGAATGCAAATCAACGAAGTAAGCAATTACTTTAACATAAGCTGTTATTACAGAATTCGGTTAGTAATTCACTTTCTTTGCCAACTGCAATATATATATATGCTCAATTTGATTTCTCTTGTGGTCTGTATGACGCAAAAAATGTGTAGATGACTCTTTTCTGATGGTAGAAATTGGAGACTGTTAGGGTTTTTGAAATTTCTACATTTATGCATTATTTTCAAATTAATATTTTGGAGGCATTTTTTGGGTTATCAGTAGATGATAATCACCTGTCCTCTCATTTGTCTAGTTCACTATCCAAATAGGAGGAAATACTAAAGTAATTGGAAGGCTTAATTTGATTCAATACTTTCGGTGCCATTTGGAATGCCATTATGAATGAGCGAATTGGTATCTCCAAATTGTGCCTCTATTTTGCATTGGATAAGACTCACTTGTAAGAAGCCAATTTATTAAGATCGAATTAGGTAGACATTCTTCTGGCCAAATTTCTACTTCTACCGTCAACTTAGTACGCCTGTAGCAGCTAAATTTTTTTTGTACTTCTTCTTCATTGTTCCACATTTTTGTATTAGAATGGTGATTTCACAACACCTCTTACTCTTTGATTGACATATCTGCTCAATCATGTGCGTCGAATTGTTAAGTTTTGTTGCTCCATTTCACTGACTTAAAGGTTATGAGTTTATGGTACGAGAAGTTCTATTGCCTATTTGCTCGTAGGCTTCCAATAGGTGAAGTTTCATTGCATGCTAAGCAATGTAATTGTGTGTAAACTGACAGCTATCAGATAGTGATTTCAGGCCTTTACACGCTGCTCGGTGTATTTTAATTAAACTTGACAGAATATTCATCTTCAGTCCTTACTAAATCACAACCAAGTGTGTCGTAGTTGAACATCTTCTCCAATGCATTTTTTGATGTCCCTTTCATTCACTTGTTCTACACATGTTTCTGTCATATTATTTTATTTTTGTCACATTTTTTCATAACTGAAACTACAAAGTTATAGGATAAACACATCAAACGGAAGTGTTCATACCCACTACAAAAAGGAAAAAATTAAGTTTATGAACTTGTAAGGCATTGCTCACTCTCTGACCATTCTTCTAGCATATCTTGTCTTACAAATGCATCTCAGTCAATCAACCTGAATGTTGTGCTTGTTCTTTTTATCAGAATCCCCATCCAGTTTGATTGCTTCTGTTAGTGCCCAATCTTTGTATGACTTAAATGACTTTGAAGAAAGCCTAATAAACTACTTTGATGTGAGTTTTAAATTTGCCAACCAGATTCCAATCAATAACTAGATGCTTCCCGGATTTTGCTTTCTGTGACTGAGTATACTTTTCTGTTCATGCATAGATGCCTGAAAAGAAGCATTGGCAAGAATGGGAAGAGGAGTTGTATATCCGCACGTATGTTGATTGGCAGAAAAATCGAAAGTGGGAGGCAACTCGGAGCACCTTGGCAAACCACACTACAATGACAATGTACTTGACTCAAGAATACGGGGTAACTTGTATTGGAACTCAATCCCAATCCAAGTACTATCGAGTGATCGATAAGTGAAGACTGTTCACACACCTCCGAGGTGATTGTGCCAAGCCAGAGACAGGGATAGGATTGGACGAGTAACACAGATGCTTTTTAACCGGAGCAGAGCAATGGGCGTATTTGTGGTAGGTATGGTATTCCTTGATACCTTGAAGTTTACTTTTTTGTCTGACAACTTCTGCTATCTAGTATTTATATGCATTTCACTGCTGATGGTTGAAATTATGCAATTTGCGAAGTTCTTTTGTGCTTGAAAATTTAAAATACGCACAATGGTTCTTTATTGTAGTGTGTGTTTGTGCAGCAATTCCAATATTGATTCTGTTTGTTCAATCAAGTGGAGACTGTTTTTAAACATGTTTGTTAATTCAAGAACAAAATGGTACTGATTGGCTTACTTAGATGCTACGAAATAAACATTAGTTGGAGGTTTTCCAAGAATTGTTTATTCGACCATGCCTTTACTACTTCAATCTTTTGTCTTGGAATACATTTCCACCAATTTTTAGTGCAATTCTGGAGGGTACAATACCTAAGTCTATACCTACTTCTGAATTGTCTTTGTCCTATTAATCTGACCTATGTTTTTTAGCTAGTATGAATTTGTCTTTCAGAAATTTGTAGTGCTGACACTCCTAATACTTCCGTGGAGTTTACTAATTAATGCCTTGTGAGAGATTTTCAGTTCAACTGAATTTTCTAAACAGCGTCTGCACTTTTGCATTCTGCTCATTTCGTTGGCCATTATTTGCTGGAATGTAATGTGTTATTTGCTTTTACCTAATAAACTATCTCCTGGTGTTTGCTTAATAGCTGGATCATCAGTATGTCGACTTTCAATACCCACATAGTGCTGATTTGACAATTCTATAGGATGAGGTGATGGACGGCAAACAAGTCACAGGCAATCGTGCTCAATTTTCGGCTCAACCCCCACCCCAATTTGTGTCTCCTCGTGTCCGTAGATGTAAGGGTGATTCGAACCTTAAAGGCAAAGGCGTGACTTCAAGTTCTGCCATCAACCCAACAAATTCGAAGGAAAATCTGATGATGATGGAAGCCCTATTCTAAGAAATCCCGACAAGCGACCATTGGGTAGTGCTGCCTACAGTTCTGAGAAGGAAGGCTCAAGAGAAACCAAGTCCCGAAAGTCGAGTTCGGATAACTACCAAAAGGCTCTGAACAACTTCAATAAATTTTCCTCCATAGTTTCTTAAAAAGCAGCAAAAGAGAAGTATTCAATTGAAGCCACAAAAGTAGTGGAGGGTCTGAAGTTAAAGAGAATACTGCACATGTATCTCTTGAAAGAATTGTTGGATGAGGAGTTCCGTAGTTTATTTCTTAGCTTCAGTGAGAGTGAGCAGATGACATGGATTGAGTTGTTCATCGTACCGAAAATGGAGGGGAAGTGAGAAACCAGTTCTGAGAACTTGTAGTTTTAAAAATCCTATGTTTCTGTTATTGCTATGGAAGACGTTTGTCCTGCAAATTTATGATTATGTTGCTGTCTTTGGTGGATTTTTATTGCATGTTTG